TTGGGAAAGGGTAGTTCCATATCTGTACTACAAGAAAGGATGGCCAGCATGCCCAAGGGAAATGCTGCCTGGAGGTAGTTTGGAAGGTGACTGCTTGGGAAGTTCTCTATGTTGGGTGTATCACTTCTCACATGTTGGGAGGGCAAAGTGGACCACAGCTTAGCTGCAACCACATTTATTAGATCAGCTGCAGTGCCATAAAAAAGAGTGTTTATCTGCCTGCTGGAGAGATACAGGAGGGAGAAAAGGAAATAACCCTACATTTAGAGTATCTGGCCATTCCTGGTCTGAGATAAAAATAATGACGATTGTGGTGAACTCTAAAGCCAGCAGAATAAATCCTCGGTATTTCAATGAAAAGCTTTCATTATTTGAAAATCTTCTATTGTGAGATAGGTCTCTGGTAAGTTTAAGATTTTACAGTGCACTGTGCTTAATAGTTCTGCACATATTGCACAGTTAGAAAAAATGTACATAATTTAGGTGTACCCAAATAATTTACACCTTGATTTGAGAACTGAAAAATATGGTTGTGACTTTTTTTTTGGGGGGGGGAGGGGGGAGGGATAGGGGGAAGAGTGAGCTCTTCCACATATTACAATGACCTCTACCAATCTCAAAGAAGAGATGGCATCCTCAAGAAAAGAATACGCTGCGCATATGAGTCAGTATTTAGTAAAATTTAACTTTCACCCTCCCATACAAAGTATGGCCTGTAGGATATGGGTTTTTTCATCAGCTTCAGGAGACTCTCCAAATACAGTAACATCATCCTGATAATACTAGATTCTGAGCTTGTTATTATGATGTAGTAACATATTTCAAAAACTCGGGATGTTGATTTAGGACCATATAGTGTATGATTAAAAGAGAAAAGTTACATTAAGTGTAATAAATGCTGTGAAGCTCTAACTGCCTGGATATTTGGCAATAGGCATTCTTTAATCAATAGTATAAAACACCCTCTACAACTATGACACCAGTATTTGCAAATGGTTTACTGTCAGTTGTCAATCCCAATGGCTTTGGTTTCCACTAAGTCCACACAAACCCAAATTTTCTGCTTTGTTTTTTGTTACCACTGTGCTAATATTAATTTAGGAAATTCAGTGACTCCATTAGTATCTTCTGGGATATTTTTTTAATTATCTTGTAACTCAGCATCTCTTTTTCAATTGTAGAGAATATAATTTCCATTGTAGAAGTGGCACATTAGACTGAATTGTCATGCTGTGAATAAATCATTCTGCACACATATGGCATTTTCATGTACCAGCTGATACTACTTCTTTTGTAAGAGCTGAAACTGGAATTTGTATTGAAACAGTGTTTCATTATATTGAAGCAATGCATATTTATATATATACAAACACTTGAATAAGAAGTGGAGCTCACAGATTTCTGCTTAACAGGAGTATTACTGTACACAAGAATAAAAATTGGCAGTAGACATCAAAACTATTTTTTCTGTGCAGGAAACAAGAATAAGGTGGTTTCAGGTGGCTTACTAGATAATGTCAAGCCTAAAACTTCTATAGCAGTTCACGTAAATGCATTCACTGAGTACTGAAGCTCATAAATCAGCCTCCAATCTTATTTTAGTATCATTTGACCATTCTACGGATGCAAGAAAAAGTAACTGTACACAAATACATCCATAATAAACAACTGATTCCATCCATGGTCAAAACAGTAACATCTGGTACCATAATATCACATAAATATTGCTTAGGTAAAAATTCATTACGTATTTTAATGCAACATCCTTCTGCAGTATTTGCAGGTTATTCAATATGATTTGCAATATGCTGTAAATATTTACACATACACACAGATATATATACACTTATACATGTTATATATGTTGAGCTTTTAGCCCTAGTTCCAATTGTTGCAGTTTGAAGGCAGTTCACCATTTCTCAATTTTCTTATTGTCAATTCAGTTAGAGAAGCAACAGTTATGATCTCCAGTAGTGTCAGGTCCAATTCACGCAATAAATAGTAACTATAATCGATAGCAAATGCTTTCTTCCATAAGATGAAGTTGACCTTTTTTTCTGTGCTTCTAGACTTACACATGATTTTTAACTCCCTTAAAGCAGAAGTGTACTGTTCTGTTGAGGCACTTGGTTTCTGTGTAAGCTGGCAAACTTTATTGGATTCAGCTACAACATTTATTGCGGGAAAAAAAAATCTATTTCAGGAGTACAGATTCTTTTTTTTTTCATGTTTTTGTTTTATGTTTTTATGAAACATAGAAAGTACCCCCCAGCTCTCTGCTCTGGTGGGTACTCTCCAGTGGGTCCTCCACTACAGCAAACAGCATAACAGGTTTTCTTTCTCCAGCGAAGGCAGTGCCACTAATTGTCACTATATGATTCCCAACCATTTTCAGGTGAACAACAGAAGTAACTTTCAAGGCCAGGTTGGAAAGGGCATGGAGCAGCCTGGTCTAGTGGGAGATGTCCCTGCTCATGGCAGAGTGGCTGGAGTTAGATGATCTTTAAGGTCCCTTCCAATCCAAATCATTCTATGATTTAAGAGCATCTGGATTGTGTAGTAATGATGCAAAAAAATTAAATGACAGCATGACACTGGTCTTGCTTCTTCACCATTGTAATAGAAAGGATGCAGAACTAAAAAGATTATTCCAGGGATCCACAGAAGAAAGTCTAATCCTGACTGCAGCAGACAATATTAGAAACCAATCAAACCAACCAAAAAATCCACAGTCAGATTAGATTTAGGGGTTCCCTGAACTTCTTTTCCCTACAAATGCCCTTTTCTGTCCAGCACCACCACTGCAATACCAGAGGTCTCATAACAGTTCATGTTATGTACGTGAAGCAGCTACCCATGAAGAAGTGGGAACTAATGAAGAATATTTCTTTCTGTCTTCCAACAGCTGGTTATGATGGCAATGACTGATAAATGTCCCTACTTTTTTTTATTTTGTTGTATTTACAATACTTAAAACAATGAAGGTATTTCAAAGGCAGTTGTAACGAAGTACTCAATTACTACAGACTTAGGCTTTTAGCATGGGGGATGAGATGTGAATAAAACCTGCATGATTTGGAATACAAAGTCACTAAAGGTGAGGAAATACAAAGGTAAAAAGAAACTGAAGTAGGTCAGAGACATGAAAAGGTGAAAATGAAGTCAAAACCACAAAACATAGAGAAGTGATAGCAAAAGCAAGCATTTCCTTCTAAATGCTACTAAGGTGACAAAGACAGCATTCAGTAAATAACAAAGGAATATGTACCTGTTTCGACAACTGGCTGATTGTAAAAATTTTTGCACAACCTCACTGTCAAACCTGAAACATTGCACTTGCAACATTTTTCTGAAGAACATTTCTGAGGCATACTCAAATCCTCTGCTTAATGCTTTGTAGACTGGAATCAAAACTAAATGTAGAAGCAGCTGCTTTAATCGAATTTTGTTTTGCTCACATTTTTAATATTTTTATGTAAGTGGGAGTGAATCATGAAATCTGGAAAGTTGCTATCTTCCATGTGCCATTTCTTACTAAAATATGAGGCGGAAGAGGCAAAACACCAGACTATGTGAGTGCTCGTTTAGAGCGTTTGGGAGGTGCTCTCAGGTTCTTCTGTTTCCTTTGGGGAGTTGAAGGGTCCTCAGGGCTGTCCTGGTCCTTTTCTTGATAAAACAGGCTAAGCATTGTGGTAGTTGGGCGTGATTTCCCCCCCCCCCCACTAAACTGTGTATTTACGGAGAAATAAGGTTTAATGTTACCAAAGGAATAAGGCAAGGCGTAACACGGGTGCTGCTGAGAGGACAAAGGAGAGGGAGCAGGCACTGAATAGATGGATACAGAAAACCCCGAGTAATTTCTAACTCGTTTCAATCCAAGCAAAAAATATCTAATGTATTTCGATAATATTCCTAATGCAGTTTAATAACTGAGCGAAGGGAGGGAACACGGGCGGGGGGGGAAACCCGCATAACAATATCCTGCAACTCAGGAAGGTGTGCCAAGTCCCTTCGCTCCGCATTTCGTGGGTATCTTAATCCTGGGTCATCCAATTAAAGAAAACCTCCTTCGGCGGTTTTACGAGCGCAGCACATCAACTCCCTTTGTTTACACCCTGGAACAAGATGTTCTTTCCTGTTCCGACAAGAAAAGGAGCTGAAACGCTAACGCGGGGTCCCTGCGCGCTGGCACCGGCCCGCCCGGGGCTGCCTTTGGTCCGGCATTCCCGCAGCGGGTCCGGCCGAAGCCAGGAGGGCACGGGCGGGCACCGCCGGGGCGGGGGACTGCCCCAGCCGTAAGTAAGAGCTCGCACGCCGGGGGATGGCCGGGCGGTATGTCGGGCTGGTTTTACGGAACGCGGAGCGAAGCGGGCAGAGGGCGGAGAGGGAGGAGAAGGGGCCGCGGGGGCCGCCCTCGCCGCCACCTCCGACCGCCGCCCCCGCCCCGGCAGCGCCCCCAGCGCCGCGTCCCCGGGGAGCCGCCGCGGAGCAGCACGGGAGTTGTAGTGCGGCGGCGCCGGCCGGCCCGCCATCCCGCTCCCCTCGCCGCCGCCCCCGGCCCGCGGCCCCGCTCTCGCGAGGCTTGGGGGGCGGACGCGCTCTGGGGCGGGGGGCGCCGCCGCCGCCGCCGCCGCGGGGATGTTGGGCGCGGGCGCGGTTCCCCCGCGTGACGTCACAGCGCATTGTTGTGAGCGCGGCGGAGCATCCCTCAAGCTGTCACAGCTGTGCGGCCGCCGCGGGGAGCCTCTGCCCCCA